TTTCTATAGCTTTAAGCAGGTAGAATTGATCTTTAGTAAGTTGTACACATTAAAATGTGCAGTTTGCCAAGTTGTGACATATGTTTATACCCCTGAAACCATCTCTACAACCAACATAGTGAGCATAGCCATCATTCCCCACAGTTTGCTCATGCACTCCTTGGAGTGCTCCCTCCAGTTTCTGCCTCCTGTCCCCACATGATCATTGAGTTGCTGCCTGTCATGATAGGTATAAAATATGTACTTTTTTTTATCTGACTTCTTTCATTCAGCATTTTTTGAGGTTTATCCATGTTATTGGGTATAATCTTTACTTGCTGATTAGTAATACATTATATATATCTACTTATTACTATTTTCTCCAGTCACACATTGATGGACACTTAAACTGTATCTAGTTTTTTATTATAAATAAAGCTGCTGTGAATATTCATATAAGTTTCCATATAGACCTTTTCATATCTCTTGGGTAAAAAAACACACATGGAGGCCCTCTCTGGTGGCACAGCTGGCTAAAGCACAGCATTATGAAGCTATCCAAAGCCACTGTAGCACAAGTTTGATCCCCAGTCAGGGAGGTGACCCACATGATGCAGCAGACCTCTGTGGACCTGCCTGCTGCTCCCCTCTGTATTTCAGTACATCTGCCTGTTCTGTTCCCCACTCTGTCTCTGGTGAATCCTCTCACCCCCCTGCCCAACTCTGACCTGTGCCCTGGTTCTTATATGCAAAAATAAATAAATCTTTAAAAAAAAAAAAAAGCTAGGTATGAAATGGTCCATGTTTAATGTTTTTAAAAAGTGTCAGACTGTTTTCTAAAGTTCTGCCATTTTTATAATCTCACCAGTGGTATATGAATTTTGTTAGCTTTACAATCTCACCAGAACTTGGTGTAGTCAGATCATCAGACTTTTTTAACTTTAGTCACACTAATGGGTAGGTAGCACTAATAGTGGTATTCACTTGTATTTCCCTAGTGACCAGTGATGTTGAATGTTTTCATGTCCTTATTTGCTACCTGTGTATCTTCACTGGTGAAATGTCTTTTCAGACATTGCCATTTTTTTTTTTTAAAGATTTATTTATTTATTCATACAGAACTGGGGTACAGGCCAGAGATGCGGAGGGTGAGAGGATTCACCAGAGACAGAGTGGGGAGCAGAACAGGCAGATCGACGAAGTACACTGCTGAGGGGAGCAGCGGGCGGGTCAAGAGAGGTCTGCCAGCCATGTGGTCACCTCCGGGGCAGGCGGGAATCGAACTCATGCGGAAGCGGCCCTAGATTCTCAGTGCTGTGCTTTAACCCGCTGCGCCACCAGGGAGGGCCCATTGCCATTTTTTTAATGGGTGATTATATTTGAATTTTGGAAGTTCTTTATGAGATCCATGCTTTGCAGAAATTTTCCCCTAATCTTCTGGTGTCTTTTCATTCTCTCTTTCAATGTTTTCTTTTGAAGATCAGTTTAAATTGTTGATGAATCCAATTTCTCAATTTGTTACTTTGTAGGTTGTGTTTTGGTGTTACAGCCAGTGATGTATTAACTTTATTAACTGTTAGATTTTACATTTATGTTTATGATCCATTTAGGGTTAAGCATCTGTGAGGTATAGATCCAGATTCATCTTTAAAAAGGACAGCAAAGCCCTCCCCGGTGGTACAACAGATTAGGACACAGCACTGCAAGGTGGCTGCAGTCGCTTAAGTGTAAGTTCGCTCCCCACCCCGGAGGTGACCACATGGCGTGGCAGACCTCTCATGTCTCGCCTGCTGCTCCCCTCAGCAGTGTACTTCATCTATCTGCCTGTTCTGCACCCTGCTCTGTCTCTGGCGAATCCTCTCACCCCCCTGTATTTCTGGCCTGTACCCCAGCTCTGTATGCATAAATAAATAAGTCTTTTTAAAAATTGTTTAAAAAAAGGACAACAAACTTTTAGCACAATTTATTGAAAAGCTACTTTTGGGGTTTTTTTTTTCTAATTACAAAACTAAAATATTTGTAAAATAGAGAAGGGTAAAAAGTCTGTATCTTAACAAATTTTTATTGTTTACCTATATATTACCTATTGCTTGGGGTAGGATATAACTATTCCAAAAAATATCCTAAGTGTGTAGTTTACAAAATTGAAAGCATAACATACATACTTGTCCTATGTCCTTTTTTAAAGTTTAGCATTATTTCAGTAACTCCCCCAGGTGGTCTAGTATTCTTTAAATGCATGATTTTTTAAAAAGATTTATTTATGTATGCATACAAAGCTGGGATACAGGCCAAAGATGCAGGGGCGGTGAGTGGAGTCACCAGAGACAGAGTGGAGAGCAGAACAGGCCGACTGACAAGTACACTGCTGAAGGGAGCAGCGGGCTGGTCAGGAGAGGTCTGCCATATGTGGATCACCTCCCTGGCAGGCGGGATAGAACTCATACTAAAGTGGCTTTAGCTTCTTAGTGCTATGCCACCACGGAGGGCATAAATGCATAATTTTTAATGACTACATAGTTATTTTGACATCTAAGCATATCCCATTACCCCTTTTATTAGACATGATCAATTTTTATTATTGAAATGTACTTTGCTTACATTTAAATATTTGTTTTCCATCCTTTTGTGTTTAAATTAAACAAATTACCAAGTCAATATACATGAATATTTAAGATTTTGATTATATAGTTCTACAATATATTCCAGAAACATTTCAACAATTTTACTCCTACCACCAGTGACTACAAAATTTAATTCTTTATATCAGATTTTGTTTGTTTTGTAAAACCCTGAAGGATGACCCTAGATACCCTTGTTCTCCATAGTGTCCTTCTTAGCCACTGCTCTGTCCCCCAGCCAGGTAATCTGCTGCTCCCTCATTCACCAGGGACAGGAACCTGCTACTTGACACTGGCCTAGTAAAGCAAACTTCATGCAGCCCTTGCTGCTTGTACCAAAAAAAATTACCAGAATGTATTATGCTCCACTTAGATAAGTACCTTTTCTTATCAAAAAAGAAAAAGCTCTCCCTTCTCTCAATTTTCCTAAGCTCCCAGAATTGTCTGTTTTCTTTCCTCTCTCTTTATTTAAGAATAAAGACCCCTAGTGTTTTCTCATCTCTCTCTCACCTGGGATCCTGAGTTCCCCTTCAGCCTGTCACCTGCCTTTTTTTTCAGTGCAAAGCTCAATGAAAGTAAGTGTCCTCTTACAGGAAGTACTTTCCTTGTCAGTCAACTAGCCACCCACATTTAGGTGCATCATCCTCTTCCCTTCTCTCCCACCACCCTACCCTGTAGTATTTCCTGTTGCAGCATGGTGCCTTCGTGCCTGAACTGGGAATTCTATGTAAGACCTGCAGGTGATTCTCTGACTCTTAGCAGTTATCTTTTTGTGGGTTTTGCCACCTTCTTCTTCCTTCTCCTTGAAGCTCAGTGTCTGCCCTCCCTACTAATTACCTGGTTTGCTGATAGGTGGTTACCATGATTACTAACCAGAATTTGGGGTGAAGCTTTCTGTGTGAGTTAACTGTACAACTTTCTTCCTTTTATCCCCTTTTTCACTATTACCGAACAAGTAGGTCGCCTTTGTTTCAGGAAGTGCTTGGTTTCCCTGCTTTTCAGCTCTGCCCTGCACTACTTCAACACACATTTCTGTCTCACTGGAACAAGCACGCCCTCTTTCCTCACCTCTCCCCTGGTTTTCCTCCTTCCCTTTCCCCATTCCCAGTATTATGCTCAGTATGTTTTGATCTGGTCAGTGGCCTACAATAGCCTCATTTCTCATGTAGGGGGAACCTGAGTGTGAGTTGTCTCGTCCTTTTGGGTTTCAGTGTACTTTTCTCACTTGAAAGCTTACATTGTCTGTAAACTGCACTTTACTGTAGTCAGAGTTGTCTTAGAATCTGTGATGACCCACAGCTCTGTGGGATCTTCTGGCTAACTGATATGCCTCCCACATGCACTGCCTTTTATTCCTTTTTTATTTACATCCTTCAATGATAAAAATTACCAAACATCCATGGATTTGTCACTCTAATACTGCCTTCAAGACAGGTTTTATTTTATTTACTGGTAACACAGCTTAACTTGACATAAAAATTTCTATCTGGCATCTGCAACTAGTTGGTAACTGTTCTAGTGTGGGAGCTGTATCTGTTTGCAGCCCCAGTGATTGAATTCGGTGTCATAGGTAATAGATGTAGGTACTATTTATCACGTCATTGTTAATTATCTTAATGGAGTGGTAGCTACATACAGTTGAATGTTGACTCTCTGACCTAGGAAAATGAAGCAGATGATTTCTTCGTAGAACTCCTGACATTCTTGTTCTCTCTTGGTTAATTAGCCCATAGAGAGTCTTTGGTTGAGGATAATTCAAAACATTGAGTACTTCAGAATACACTTCAGATTTTCCCTGTGTGATGCTGAAGATGGACTTGCCACCTGCACAGTCCCATGAAAATGAATAATAGTCTCATCATAAAGACTGATAAGTCGGGAGCTGAGTAGTTGTCCATCTTATTCTGTCTCTACTTTTGGGTACCAATTATTTGCACCCTGTCCTGTGAACAGATGGCCCAAGGGAAACATTCATCAGGCAGGATTTCTCCCTCAGCTACTGTTCAAAACAAGATACACACTTTCAAAGACTTTTCTAAAAACTGTGGTACAGAAAAAAAATTAACTGTTTAGAATACAAATGAAGAAAATGTTCAGTAATTTGGGGTGATGGCAATAAACTTGAAAGATACTTTGCCAGATAAAAATATGAACAATAAAGATAACTGATTTGGGGGCAATATACAAATTTAGGGTTGTTTACTTGTTTAATGTTCATTTCACAGTGTCCTATAAATACTTTGTTTCACGTTTATTTCTAACAAGATTTTGGAATTAATTTTCCGATAAAGTATAAATATGAGTAGGTGATAATGAGTCAAAACCATTTCACTCATGTGCCTTTAACTAGGTTGGGTCTGAGATTCGGAATTTTAAACTAACTCTTCTTTTCTTTTTAGGTTGCGCCTTGGTGCTGCATTGGCGGTATTTTGGCACCAGAATGCTTCATTCTATGATGGTCTTTTGATAAGGTTACCTTGCTAGAGTTTGGAGCAGGGCTTCAGGTAGGTGGCTTTTACCATTATATGGCATGACTTTCAAAGTGATTGATTATTCGAGTTATATTTAAGATATAATATTAAAAGCTTTGAAAAGCATGCCACATAATAAGCATGCCACTTACTGTTTTAAGGTCTATTAATATATATTGTGTTCAGCAGGATCTCATTAATAGTTATAGTGTAAAGGAAGGACTGGAATACTGGCAAGTACACTCTTCCTTACTCTGCACAAAATGTGTAACTGCTGCAAAAGCTTATTTGTTCACATTCCCCAAAAAAGCCCACAGATGAACTCTTAAGCTCTTCTCTGAATCTTGGGATAGAATCTTCCATAGTACCAACATACCTTTTTCAGTCTGCTGGGTAGGATCTGATTAACAATGGGCATGAGAGAGAAGCTCCCTCTACTCCCTGGAAAAGACAGAGCTAGGAATCAGGAACACAGCAGGACCACAGTTTGCTACTCTTGTTGGAAAAAGGACACACAGGAGAGTGTAGGTTTCCTGTAGCTGCAGCTAAGGGACACAGAATCGAGATGTAGCAATACTTGGAAACCAGGCCCACGTGGAGCTGGCCCCAGGTAAGTCTGTCAGCAGGACTTCACACACAAGATGGAGGTTTAGATGCCAGGACCCTCAGCAGCCCTAGGATGGGAAGACTGTTGGAAACAAAGCTGGCTGTGCCAAGTATCAGAAGAGGGTTTCGAGCTCCTAAACTCCACAGCCGCCAGGCAGGGATCCAGCCCTCGGGGAAGAAGGACACAGGCTGAGCGCCAGACGGGGCCTCACAGTACATATGTACAGCTTTGTAACCAAATAAAAGGTTCATAAATTAACCTGGCTAAAGTTCTCTATGAGCACAGCATTCAATGGAAATTAAGCGTTACAATTAAGTCAGCATAAATCTTCAGCCTCTTGTATATTATAAACACTTAAAATATATGAAAAGCTGTTAATGGTTTTTTATTGTTACAGGTTAAGGGACTTTTTTTCTTCTCCTTTGTAGTTTTTAAACTTGTTAATAAGGAAGCTGGTTTTTAACAACTAGGAAAAAAAAATGTTACCAATTTTACTTAGCCAATTTTATGCTGATTTTCTCCTTTTGATTTCTGAAAGCAATCAAAAATGTCCTCTCATATTTCGCCTTCATCTTTACATTTTAATTTCACATGAAGAACATCTCAAAGGTTTTGAATTTCCTTTTCTCACTTGACCTTACTATAGTATTACATAGACTATTTCCAGGTGATAAATTATAATCAAAACAAGTTGCATGTGCTTAAGAAGCTATGGGATGCATGTGCTTAAGGAGCCAAAAGCAGAAATGTTCTGGAAATTCAGGCTGGCTAGGAGCCACCCAGGTGTGTCTGAGCCTGTCAGGGACACCTGCACACCTTTGAGCAGCATGTGCCTCAGTCTCCCTAGCTTTCAACACCCATTGACAGCAGCAGGACAGACTCCCAGGTGGTGGGATGCTGTGTTACGTTTTTGCCCCTCCACCCAAACAAACCAGCAGTTTCATTCTCTGGGTTTCTCTTCAGAGCCTGCTTTAAACAGGTTTGAGAATTCAAGATCTCCAAAACACACTTAGCTGCTTTTTGTAATTTCTGTTCCTTCAAGGAATTCTGGTTGTGTTCAACCAATATTTATCAGACTCTACCACTGCTAGGGCTCTCACCAGGTGCTGGGAATCTTGGGGTGAAGAATAGTTTCCCTGGAGGTGAATTTAGAGTCCTGAGGAAGAGACAGGTGATTTCAGGAAGATCGTGAGAGCAATATCACAGGTACACGACTGAGAGAAGCTAAATTCTGAAGTTCATTCTTGTGCAGGTAGAATCACTTGAATACAGTTAAGTTTCTTCTGATTAGTATAACTGGCAAAATGTGTGTGTCCTCTGGAGGCAGAGGGAGCGGCTACCCCCAATTTGGCAGTTTTACCTAGAACTGATATGAGTACACCTATGTGGGAATAAATAAAAGCTGCTTCCTGTAGTTTGGTCCAGGACAGCCATTTGGATATAACTTAAGGAGTAACAGTGATGACATGAATAGACCCTGACCTGGTTGGGGGTTCTGTTTTTATTACATTGTTTAGTAGTAGTCAAGATTTTGTACACACTTAACATTTATATCTTATTGAATACACAACACAAGCCTCTGCTTAACAGTTCATTTTGAACTGGCTTATTATCTGCATGATTATCTGCATGAACTTTTAAAATTAAGCAAAACTTTATCACTTTGGCTTTTAATGTGTACTATTTCTACCTTCCCATTTGAATTTATTACAGATTCAGTATGAGGGCTCGGACCCTAGATTATCCAGCAGCTGTAATTTTAATAGGCTGAATGAAATCATGTCCTCCAAATGTTTAGAGTCCTTCAGTGTGAACATTTCCATAGTGTCAAGCATGCTTTTTGTAACCCCAGGAAGTTAAGGAGTTTGTGGTAATAAAAACATAAACAACTCTTCACAAATTGGGAGATTTTTTTTTGGGAGATTGTGCTGACCTGTGATGTACTTCCTTTATAATTCTAGCCAGGGCACTAATATTTTGGAAATGCTTTATATCAAAACAAAACCTCTGAAATTAAAGTTTTGATTAAGCAATTATGCTTTCTGTTCACATGTCATTGTTGTTCTTTGCTTTCTCAGGCATCATTGCTTCCTTTTTATACAATTCCTCTCATTTCCTGTTTGTAAATACTGACTGCCCTTTGCTAAGAAAATAAGAATACCCTGGTGAACCTCTTATTTGTGTGTTTTTTTTGGTTTTTTTTTTTTTTTTCATAAAGAATGTGCAGTCATGGGGGCATTTGGGGGATGCAGGGAAATCCAGTGTAGTAGTAAAAATGCTAAATTACAAGTTAGGTACCATTAAAAGAGAAGTAAAAATTTTGACCTATCATGACATTTCTTCTGTAAAATAATTAACCAAGGAAGATATTTATGAATTGGAAGATAAAATTTATTTGAATATCCTATCTTCAGCATTTATCTCTCTGGGTATAGTAGGAAATGAGCAAACAGCTGTACCCACATGCAGGGTCACCCAAAAAGGAACTTAATTGTATCTACCAAAAAAATGACATTGGAATTTTTGTGTTCCAGTTTGGAATTGTTGCCTTTTCTATCTATCCTTAAATAAATCTGCTATTTCCCTTTACTTCTGTTTGCTTTTGCTATAATATTGTATATTATTATTGTATATTAGATATAAAGCTTTCTAAATATCAGTAAGAATGACTTTTATGATAAATTTCAAAATGATTGTCCTAGAACTATAAAATAACATCAAACTATCAAATATAGTAATGACAAAAGGACATCCTTTTTAAGTTAATTTTAGTTAGCTGTGACATTCACTACAGGAAAATAAATACTGCACCAATTTTCATTGTTTCAGGGAACAGTGAGTTGTTTGGGTCTCTACTGCAACATAAGCATTTCTGACAGTCTCTGCTCTTTTCCATTTGCTGCTCCTCAGTGGGCACACTTCCATTCTGCTCTCCTTGTGACTACCTGCAGCCTCTTGCAATCACCTAATGAACCTTCTAGTCCGGGCCAACATGGGCACCAGCATGGGCATGTTTCCAGTTTAGCAACTTTTGATAGGATGGAGGGACCACTTTATACTAATCAATTCCTTAGCAATAAGATAAATCAGATAACTCTTTCTTTCTGAAACAAACGTTTTAGAAGCTTTTATTGTTGCAGTTGCTATTGTTTTAGTCGAAGACTATAGCTCTTACGTTTCAAAAATATTTTGTTGGCTGAGTTTGTTATACCAACTTATACTAATACTGTACTCCTTTTGATTTGAGTATAGGTATATATATTCTATGCTTATTTATGTGCTGATTGAGCAAGCCTCTCATTCATTTTGTTGCTGGAAGGCACTTGCCCTGCTTTAATTTTTTCATTCTGAAATTTGAGCATTAATTTTTCTTTTTTCTAATGGTAACAGCAGATACAATTCCTGCACCGTGCTACTGACAGTTTACTTTAAAATCTCTTAGGTTTTCATAGTTGCAAGGATTTTCCCTCTTATTTCTTCTCTAATAAGTGATTTTACAGATCTATAGAAATTGAATGCTATAAAAATTTCCACCTTATCATACAGGATCAAAAAAATGTTCTGAGCATGCAGTTGCCCTTCAAAATTGACTGTCTTCAATTATGTTATCTTGTTGATAGAACCTTTCACAATATGCAAAGCTCTGTTGTTTTATACAGTAAATGAAAGTATTAACTACTGGTAAGTTTTCTTTTGCAAGCTACCTTATTTTTATTCTATATGAAAAAACATGTTTTAAACTGATGTTGACATTTTCTGCATTTATTTACAAATGGTGTTCTGTGGTTGCATATGAGTATAAAACTTGGATTATCAATGCTTTTTGCCTCTTAATTAGCAATGTCTGTGTTTGACTTTTAAATATGAAATCATTATTGATTCAGGTAAGTGTTATAAATATTCACAACTGTTACAGAAATGACTATCAGAACTGTGAAATTTAAAATATAGAAATAGTTTCAATACAGGCCTATTCTTTCTGCCTTCATCTTCATGAGGATTCGTTTTAGTAGACCCTCTGATGTATGATTCATTTTTGCTTGTTATTTTTCACTGTGAGTCACTGTTTTAGTATGTAAAACATAGGGAAATAAACCTCTGTGTGTACAGGCCTACTCAGTCTTCTCTTTAATTATTGTTTTTATATATGCAAAGTTGCCCCAGAAAAAAATGTTTGTGTTGGTACCAGCAAAAGCAGGGAGGATTTTTTGAAATACTTTTATCTCCAATGATTTGAAATGTACATGTGTACATTTTCCACTTTGCTTCACAATTCTTCAGGCCAAGGGAAAGACCTTTAATCATTTAAAAAGTATAGTAACCAACTTTTGATATTAAAAATGGAAAAATGGGTATTGTACCCATGTTGTAGGCTTTTAGAATTGTGGTTACAATGCTTAAAAAAAAAAAAAAACTTTGTTAATCCTTTAAAAAAGAATACACACATTTTAACATTATGCAAAATTAGGATTACATACAAACTATTTTTCTTGTGTTTATTATATCAAAGAGAATAATAGTGAACTCTGTCAAACTCCTGGTTTTCCCTTGTTTTGGGAAATAGCTAGCAGTCCTTTGGAATTATTTGGCCAAACATGAGACTGACAGTGTTAGGCTGAATTTAATGAAAGTTAACTATGACTTTGGGATTGTGTTTCATGATAAAATGAATGAAAAATCTGGCTTTATTATTTCATTTCATACTGTAAAATATGTAATAGATAATTTGTAAGCTATTGTAATATTTCAAATCAAAATATGTTATTTTGAGATATATTTAAAACTTAAACTCTAAAGTATTTTTATAAGTGCCATTGAACAGTAAGCGAAAATAAATTAATGAGTGTATTTTGAATGCAATAAAATCATATTCATAAGGAAAGGAAGAAAAAAATACCTATTTGCTTACTAGTCACTGATGGCTTTAAATTTTTTTCCTACCCAAACCGTTGTCTACTTAGAATAGCTGTTACTTAACTTTTGTTTAAATTATTTAAAATTTACTTTGCAAACTGTATTAAAAGAAGCTTTTTAAGTCTTAAATCTCTTTCCTTTTGGGAGTCAGCTATGACAGCTCAGAGAGAGAAAATAGACACTAACCCCATCCTTGTCTTTTAAACCATAAATGACACAATCTGTCCACTCACAAGTTGATTTGCCAGCCTGTCCTAGAATATACTCAGATAAGGGTAAAATAGAAAAGAGTATAAGCTAGTAAGATCTTGAGCTTCGTTGAGCTTCTTACATTAAAATGCCAATAATAATAAATGTAACTACCTGTCAGGTCCTTTGAATTCCAGGGAGATAATAAAGATGTAAATAAACACTATGCTTATACTGTATTTACATTATTAAAATAAAATGATACACAAAACAGGCTTTCATATTCCTTATTACCCTACCAAAACTCAGTTATGTGCCCTGGGCAAGTAAGTATTTACAAAGTTAACTTTATTATTTTGCAATTTTGATGTGCAAAGTTCAGTTCTTCCATTTATGCATGCCCTGTGCTTACAAAAGAATGGAGCTTTTGCTTTCACTTTTTAAGCATCTTTTATTGGTTTAAATTTTTATTTTTCTTATCTTTTAAACTATGAGAAAATGCTGCTTTCAGATATACTTGTAGTGTTTCTATAATGATGCTTGAATGTCCTCTATTAATTATTTTATTTTCATCACCAAATTCTTTAAAGTACGGGAACATTTTTATATTGGGGAAATGCATCATTTAGCTTGTCATTGGTGAATCCTTATATTATCATGTTTTGACTATTTGATTTGTATCAGACCTCTGAAGTTCTATTATGATTTCTGGTTAATCTTTATAATATTTCAAGTTTACTAACTTTCCTGTGTGCCATGTATACTGTCTTATAGATCATCCTGTTTTTTTCTGCCTTTTGACTATTATTCTTTTCAAGTTTTTTGTTCAGCCAAGAATTATTATGGTTTTATCTTTGTGTTCTTAGTCTGCTGGGATCATGCTACAAATGGACATTGTTGAGAAATACCACATTTTTCAACAATGATCTCTTAAAACCAAATGACACTTTCTTCCTAACACCCCCTTCCAGTATTTACTTCCCTTGCATGCTTTTGAAATCTAAAGAGCACAGCGTTGTTGCTACATTTCAGCAATTCTTGCAGCATTCTGAGAAGTGAATTGACAGGTACTGCAGGTACCAAAAATGTATTCAGAGAAGCCTAAGTTGCACAAGTTTGTGCAGTGTGGACTGTGAGTGCTTCCATCAGGTGTTGCTGTGCTTTGGTGAGGTTCCAGATGCACTGTCTCAGGAGATAACTTAGCGTTTCTCTTCCATGATATTATGAATGAAATTTTCATCAGTTTGGTTTACCCATAGTAACCCTAATATCCATTTCTTTTAGTAGACAAATTAGATTTTAAAATTGTAATGAATTTGGGAAAGAAGTGGGGAATCATTCAGCATCACAAAATGCCATTTATATAGGTAATACTATTTTACTTTTTGTGTCTGCATTTATGTGGTCCTGTAAATGTGCTTAGAACTAATAATTTGCAATTGGTGAAAATTAATGCATGACTCATAAGCAGAATATGGAATGTAAGCATGTGCCATGAAATTGCAATTCTTTATCCTTTATTTTCCATCATTTACATGCTGTTCTATTTAGAGTGTAGTCCATCCTTATTTTTTTTTGTTTCATAGATTGGCCAAAATGGGAAGGACTGGATTCCACTCTCTTCCACGAAGAGTCAATGGAACTGGCTAAGATCAAGGTCTGAGGCTTTTTCCATCTGTCATCAGGTATTCGTTGAACAAAAATCACTACAATTCTATGCATGTAACTTTAAAGTACTGTACTTGTTTGATATACATATCATGAATGTAAAATTTGATTTGATATTGAACTCACATTATCCTATAGTTTAAATGTTCCTGTAACTAATTTGAGTTTTGTAATATATTAAAATAAAAAGGTATTATTAGCCATTAAAGATTTTCAGCTGGTCTTAGAAAAGTGTAATATTTGAAATCTGCAATTCTTCATTGCTCAGTATGTACATCAAAGATAATAATACCTCAAGGATTATTACTCCATATTATCACCAATTTTAATATAATCAATATTTATATATTGTTTCATGTTGCACTTTTAGTACATTTTTTTTCAAAATAGAGAAATGATCACTGTTCTCAATTGGAATTCTCTGCCCATGACAAGTATGACCAGTCTTTAAAATATTTCTGGATATTAGTTATCTATAGGTATTTAAATACCCTGTACTCTGTGCTATTTTACAACTGAAAAATTTACCAGCTTGTTTTTCACAATTATCAATAGGTGGATAAAAGTGTCATGTTAGAAAATCATGTAATCAGAAGTACTTTTTTTCCTTTATTGCTTTATACCAGTTTACAATGTCATTACTGGTTATTGCAGAATAGCTATTTAGATGTTTCTGAGAGAGGGGCTGTCACTTAAATGAGAATATATCAGGAAAACTTCAAACAATTCCCTGAGATTCAGAAAATCTAAAACCAGAGGAGACAGACTATATTAGCATTAGTAATGTCAGTTGTTTTAATTGTGTTAATGTCACTTTTAAACTGCAGAGGGGTACTTAGACAATTTGAACAGCATGAAAGAAAGCTTTGCCTGCCTGTATCTGCTACATATGTAAACCAAATCCTAACTAAGTTACCTACATGGTTACACTGTAAATGAGTGGATAATTTTCTATTTTGCTATTTTAGTAACAGCCTTTACATTAAAATGCATTAATGTACACTTCGTTTTTAAAATATAGGAATTTAGAGTTTCTGCAAGAGTATAACTGAAATTTGCAAAATGTCAGTATTATACATAAAATTTGTCAAGGTGCATGTCCGTACCAAAACACATGTAATATAAAGAAATTGGTTTTCATTGGTTTCTGAATGTATCATAAGGTAAAAAGTGCACTCGATTAGTAGTTGATGAGTCATTTAGCCAGTGTATAAAAATTACATCTTTTTAAAGAGGTTACAAGTATTATTTTCTGTCTCTTAAAAGTACATCGCTAAATAAACTAGCATTCATGATAAGTAGTTTAACTCTTATGTAAATTGGATCTTAAAGGAATTGATTTTCTTACTCTGAAAAATATAGTGGATGATATTTACTATCTCTTATCTATGAATTTTCAAAGGTTTCAGTCAGCTTTCAATTTTTTTGTTTAAATAAACATTCTTTGCTGTAAGTTATGTACCATTTCATTTTTCTCGCAACACTAATAAGGAATTGAAACTGACACACCTTTAAACCAACCTGAAACACCTCTTAATGATGTATCCTTGTACTGTGCTCTAAACCAGTAGTCCCACAGGTGTGCCACACAGGGCTTACAGGTGTGTCAAAGACTGATCCCCTCAGCTTTGGGAAGGCCTCATGACCCTGACTTACCCATTGATCTCAGTGTGCCCCATGGACAAGACCATTTTCTATGATGAGGAAAATTACTCCAATTGAATTTTCATCCAAAATGACAAGGCCATACCCCTCACCTGACATACAACAACAGGTTTTACCATTTCAAGAACACACATTTGTTATGAAGATAAGTCATTTCTACTCCTGACTCAGAAACCCTTCTGTATGTAATGACACTGGTATAAAGAGTGATTTCCACTTGGGTGGCAGGCCCAACTCTTTTAGGCCTCTGAAAGTGCTTCTTCTTCCATGGACTAAATGGTTCACAAGGTGTCCTAAAGAGTTATTAGTTGTTTATATTTTCTTTTAATACAGGATGTGACTAAAGCCAATTTGTACAAATTAAAAAGATTTTTAGACTTTAAAATATTTGTTTTATATTTATTTTCCATCAGATATATGTTCTGTAGTTCCTTATGCAAATTCAAGCTCAGTAAAACCACTTTTAATGTTGTCTTTTGCTTCATGAAAGTTCCCCAAAAAATCACTACTGCTTTCCCTAAGTGCAAATGCTTGACAAGTGGAATTTCAGGGTACGTGTGGACTGTTCATTCTGAGCAATGCATTGATATGTATTTTGACTAGTATAAAGAAGCCTACAGATATTACATTAGACCAGCTGAATCCATTATATGGTTTCTTTTTTAATTCAAAAGCATCACATAACAAATAAAATTTTTTAAAATTAAGTTTAGTTACAAACTAGTTGTTTCTTATTTTTTTTTCCAGTCCCTTTTTGCTTTCTTTTACGACCACATGAAACTTGAGAAGCCACCTAAAGCTAAATCATTTAGTGGAGTTGGGCAGTTCCCAAGTGTCCAACAAGAAGGCCTGGTTTAGGCTGCGATGGCCACTGTCATTCCTGGTGATTTGTCAGAAGTAAGAGATACCCAGAAAGTCCCTTCAGGGAAACGTAAGCGTGGTGAAACCAAACCAAGAAAAAACTTTCCTTGCCAACTGTGTGACAAGGCCTTTAACAGTGTTGAGAAATTAAAGGTTCACTCCTACTCTCACACAGGAGAGAGGCCCTACAAGTGCATACAACAAGACTGCACCAAGGCCTTTGTTTCTAAGTACAAATTACAAAGGTATTCAACTCTATTTGTCTTTCAGATTATATTTTCTATAATGTTGGCCATTTGAGGCCATTGTAAACGTATATATTTGTATACACATTTTTTAGCTAACTTGCAGAGAGGAAATGTTAAGTATAGATTAGACAATGGCTAGCTTTGGTATTCTAAGTCACATACTTATATGTGTTGGTATCTTTAAGTTTTTTAAATGAAGTGCTTTATGGCAGTAGAGTTTCCATTTGTACAAAGAAATTACAAGAAAAGGGCATGGACATTGCGTGAGTATATTCAGTCTTGCTCATTTTGTTGTAATAGCTAAAAACCAGCAAAAACTAAAGTGGCAACTTAAGGACTCAAGTTCTGCAGTGTTTAGGTATGTTAACTATCCTTGTAGCATATGTATTAAGTTAAGAAGTGTCCATTGTTAGGGAAATTCTGTTTTAGCAGAGTAGTTTAGCTTCCATTTGAAAACTGAGTACATACCATTTTTATCATGAAACTTACAGAATATGTCTGTGTTTAAAGGCACATGGCTACTCACTCTCCTGAGAAAACCCACAAGTGTAATTATTGTGAGAAAATGTTTCACCGAAAAGATCATTTGAAAAATCACCTCCATACACATGACCCTAACAAAGAGACGTTCAAGTGTGAAGAATGTGGCAAGAACTACAACACGAAGCTTGGATTCAAGCGTCACTTGGCCTTGCATGCTGCAACAAGTGGTGACCTCACCTGCAAGGTCTGTTTGCAGACTTTCGAAAGCACAGGAGTGCTTCTGGAGCACCTTAAATCTCATGCAGGCAAGTCATCAGGCGGGATTAAAGAGAAAAAGCACCAGTGCGAGCACTGTGATCGCCGGTTCTACACCCGGAAAGATGTCCGGAGGCACATGGTGGTGCACACTGGAAGAAAGGACTTCCTCTGTCAGTATTGTGCACAGAGATTTGGGCGGAAGGATCACCTGACTCGACACATGAAGAAGAGTCACAATCAAGAACTTCTTAAGGTCAAAACAGAACCAGTGGATTTTCTGGACCCATTTACCTGCAATGTTTCTGTGCCTATAAAAGATGAGCTCCTTCCGGTGATGTCCTTACCTTCCAGTGAACTGTTATCAAAGCCATTCACAAACACTTTGCAGTTAAATCTCTATAACACTCCATTTCAGTCCATGCAGAGCTCGGGGTCCACCCACCAAATGATCACAACTTTACCTTTGGGAATGACATGCCCAATAGATATGGACGCTGTCCATCCTTCTCACCACCTTGCTTTCAAATACCCATTCAGTTCTACCTCATATGCAATTTCTATTCCTGAAAAAGAACAGCCATTAAAGGGGGAAATTGAGAGTTATCTGATGGAGCTTCAAGGTGGTGTGCCCTCTTCCTCCCAAGATTCTCAAGCATCGTCATCTAAACTAGGGTTAGACCCTCAGATTGGGTCCCTAGATGATGGTGCAGGGGACCTCTCCCTCTCAAAAAGCTCCATTTCTATCAGTGACCCCCTAAACACACCAGCATTGGATTTTTCTCAGTTGTTTAACTTCATACCATTAAATGGCCCTCCCTATAATCCCATATCAGTGGGGAGCCTTGGAATGAGCTATTCCCAAGAAGAAGCACATTCTTCTGTCTCTCAGCTCCCCCAGCAAACACAGGATCTTCAGGATCCTGCCAGTACCATAGGTCTGGGCTCTCTGCACTCACTGTCAGCAGCTTTCACAAGTAGTCTAAGCACAAGCACCACCCTGCCACGTTTCCATCAAGCTTTTCAGTAGGAGCGCGAGACGTTGATATATTACAAAACGTACGTGTAGCTCTGCTTTAAGACACCATTGTTATTTTAGTGCCTACTTTAAGACAGTATAAAAATTCCTGCTTTTGTATAGTACCAATTTTCATTAAGCCAGTATAAAAATAGAAACTAGCTTTTTAAATGAGCTTTGGAACCATTTGTGTTCAGTTATGTTTACCTGGGTATTTTGTCCTGATTCACTGCCAATTGTCATATTTTAAGATCATTTTTTCATTTAGAAAAGCCATTATCAGTAAAGCCTTACAGGTCCCATGTTCATACTACATTTAGATCTTAAAGTCTTCATTTTTGTCCAGTAACAATGGCTGTACCTTTTGACATTTGGCTCATGCAGTGGAATGTACATTTTCCAAAATGTATATGAATCACTCAAGAGTTTTAAAATTTTTTACTAGTTTATGAGTGGATTCATAATCAGACAATTCAAATGATTAAGAATCCACTTGGAGAGAGATTAGGTGTTTCTTAGGTGTACCATAATTTCAGGTCAGTATATTTTGAAGGCAGGCTTGCTGTTGTCTGATGCAAATGCTTGCTGTCTTTATGATGCACATATAAGGAAAAACAAAATCTGAACACAAACCACCAGTATTTAGAGCAAAAAGAGACTCTTAGCAAGGTGACACAGCATTCCATGTTACTTAATAGCTGTCTTTAAATTAGTACACAGGATATTTTGCCACTCTTCACATTTCTTTAACTTGCTCCCTTTCCATTCAATAATATGAATAGTGGATGGGATTGGAGTCGTCAGAGGGAGTGCATAGTTCTCTTGTTGTGACCAAAGGGTAGGTCAAGTACAGCCAGCAATTTTATTTTGACTGTCAGTTCAACCTTTGTCCAGAATCTAGTGCCAGCGTAGGACACAGATGCTACCTGTGTCGATTCCAGAGTGGACGGCTTATAGGATATGGTAGACTCCTGGACAGAGAGACAGACATGAAGCACAAAGTTCAACTTGGAATCTTGTCTAGAGATCATGTCCTCTGTTGCCAGGGTCAGAAACTGGACTCTTAAGAGTTAAGTACAGGTATATCCCTTAGTATCTATTGCTTTTTGCTGAATTTGGTAAGGTTTTCTTTCCCTTAGGAGTCAAAGCCGAAAACAAAATAATGGTCTTAACCCCAGAGGTGTCTTTCTCATTCAGTGTTAATTCATCTTTTCATGCTCTTTTCAGATGGATAAGTTAAAGTAAATGCATTAAGAAACTACTTGAGGACTGACCAACAAAAAATATATACAGTAAAACCCCACTTTTACACATTGCTGGGAAAGGGAGTGAATGTTGCAAATAAGTTGAATTTATGGAGGGAGAAAAAGTAAAGTAAAATGAGCATTATCTAGTTAACATGAAGATAACATTATCTTCACTGAATACAATATTTACCACAGGCTTTCCTCATGTTAGACAACCACCATCATTTTCTCAAAGATCAAACAATTATATATATATATATATATATATATATATTAGTATCATATCACTTGGCACATCAACCTTAGAAACATTACCTGTTAAGCACTTGTTAACACCTTATTTGGGGACCCTGTCTTTTGGGGTGGGTATGAGGGTGGAAGGTTTATAGAAAAGTATATGTCTCTTAAAAAAGAAGAAAATATTTCTGAGCACTCATTAGCCCAAATGGAGGCTTCTTTTGCTTCCCTAGGGCCAACTATCACTGCAGATTGTGTTTACCAAGAATACTAAAAATGAGTGCAGGTTACTGAATATAATACATTATTTAAAATATGTGGGAATAGTATAACTTGTGGAGAGATGTAAATTGTAATAATGTAAATGGGGGTTTCACTATATATATTATAAATATATATATATACACACACACATATATCACACTTCATAGAATCAGAGTTGCTCTCTTAAGGAGCTTTGACTCCTGATATTTTATCATGCTCCTATTTTTTTTTAATCCTAGGAGCAGTAGTTTTTATACTTATGTATTTAAATTTTATTATTAAAATTACATTTTATTAAAAAAGTGTGTTCCAAAGGCATTAAAATTATATATGTTAATAAGGAAATACATTTAAAAATTTTCAAACTGCTCCTAAACTTTTGATTAGGAGAATATTTGCTCTGAAAGTAGGCTTTTAGCTCTGCTTTATTACTGCTTCCTTTAGTTTCTATGAAACAGATTGCTTACCTAAATCATTAATTGAATGATTAGTGTTCAATATTGCTTTAATCACCATTTTAAAAAAGAAAAAAAGAAAAAAATTTGGTGACAGAGCATAAACAGAAAACCTATTTTTAAGTAGAAATCACAAATAGAAAGTGTGGAAGCACTATTTTGTCAAAAATTTGCTGACGAAATCAAATTAATGAGCTAAGACATTGGCCTTAGTAGGCTATCTTTCACTGCTAATAACAAAATACAAGGGAGTACTACGATTTACTAAATAGGCATTTTGGAAATGGGGAATGGCACCATATAGATAAATATATGTTTAGCCTAATTCTCGCCCTGCATAGAATTCAAATAGATGGAGGCACAGCTTTCAGGGCAACAGTGTGAATTAAAACTTTAGTGTCTTAATATTCTATATGTACACCTCTTTGACTGTTGCTGGCCCACAGACTTGAAATAACACCTCCAAATGAGAGGGAATTCAGCTAATTTGTTTTTAAATTGACTATAATGGTCACTAAACCCTTACTGAGAGAATTTTTATTAAAGAAAGGCAGACTGATTTATTTCAATTGCACAATGATCTAACAAGATGTAACACAGAATTGGCTCTTTTTTTCCCCCTAGGAAAGAAATGACATTTGTTTTATGTCAACTGGATGTGATTAAAACTAATTATTGCCAATGCTGTTTTCATTCTCTGCTGACCAGAATCATCTTCCTTAAAGGTTCTGGTAGTGCCTTTGCTTGATTTGGGGGAAAAAAAGAAAGAAGATCGTCATTAAGTAAAATATGTCGGTTTAGAATTTGGAGCTCGGACAAGATATTGAACGTCATTCAGTTTGAAATTCCACATGTATGTACAAATTAGGTCACCAGACACAGAAGCATGCGTGTGGAAGGATCTCACCCTTGTGAGCAATATTAGCCATTCATGCATGCAAATATCTTTATAGTTACTGATCACTTAAAATTTGCATTTTAAAATCCTATTACCAAGTTCAGGTTTTCAAAATTTCTGTTGTCCTGGCTGATCATGCACCACTCTTAGTGCAACTTCTTAATTTCATTTAGTGTTTTAAGCTATGTATTTTTGCCTATTTGTTGCTTATGCTTTATTATTTTTAGTCATTTTTGGAATATGGTGATATATTGTGTTAATTTGGACAGTGGCGGTTTTTAAAAACCATATACTGAATGAAACATGAGCCAGAGCTGATTGCTTTATTAAGCTAATAATGAATGTTAAAGAGTACATATTTTCAGGATTATGCATCTAGTAAGCAATACACCTATATAGGCCAATATTTTTTTAAAAAATAGAGCTTGGTCAACCTCTATTCTACACATATTACAAGATATAGCACTTTCAAACGAATCTAAACTTTTACAGAACTTTCTTATAGGTTATGCCTTTTATTTTAAGACTTATTATAATTTGTTTCAAGTGCCATTAGATGATATATATGTAGGCCTTTGATATATAATGCTTTGTGTTCAAAGTGGTAGATGGTATTTTAAACAGGTACATTTTTACAGTGTTTTCTTATCAATTTGCTATATTGCACAGAATCAGTGTGTCTTTTCATACAGTTTTACAATGGTTTATTTTTTTACAAGGTTTACGTGTCTCAAAACACACTGTCTTCCCAGTATGTAAGTTAAAATATACCAGTTCACCCAAGTTACTTCTAGCCTACTGAGATCCATATGACGCTGGAGGAGATCTTTTTAATGTTGAGTATTCTTCATTAGCAACAACAGCCTGTTAGCCTCTGACAACTGAGTGCCTGCGTTGACTTTGTATTTTTCTTACAGTGTCAGTAGCCATGTCTACAACACAGATAGTGTGTTGTGATTTCATAGCTCTACAGAAGTTGTGTTGTGTAGTTTTGTGCTAGTCTATACAGAACTCCTTTGTGATCATATAAAACAAGCGATGCCACCAACATTGGTAAAGACACACTCAGATCATCCCGAAGCCCCTCTGCAATATTATAAACCTTCTGCGGATGGAAGGCAGTGTCTTTTGATAAGTTATCTAGTTCTAGAAATGACAGGACTGTTGCTAATATATAAAACACTTCATTGTATAAGCTTCAGTGGTACAGATGAACCATAATGAATGTTTATCTTCTCAGAAACACTCCTTCACTATCATGTTGGATCATGCTGCTAATGTAACTTGGGATACAACTCTTCATGGTGCTACAAACTTCTCTATCTCATTCAGTTGTATTTTTTTATCCATAGAAAAAAGGACTACAGTAGGTATAAAGGTGTACAATATATTTTTATACTGTGACTTACTTTGTCATTAACAGACTTTTACACCACCCACCACAATGTATTCATGTGCACTTGCAAAAGGAAATCTTGGATGTGCAAATGTTATCAGAACAAACCCAGCTTTTGTCCACAATGTGACTGTAGCTCAAAATGAAAACTGGGCTTTACGATATAGTGTGGAGTGAAGAACACGCTGTATGTTACTAACAGCCCTTTGAATATGACAAAAACTGGGAATCCATTAGGAAATGGATTGCATTCTGCCTGAGCATAAGCTGGACTGCTGAAATTGTATTTTTAGCTGATGAAAAGTGTTTGGACTAGTACTCTAAAAATGTTCTAATGGTAAAGTTTTGAGTCAAACTAGAAAAGAAAAAATCTGCATTCCAGGCTGAATTTTTGTATATTTTTATTGCCTTTAAAATCGCTCTTCTGTGATATCGGGAAATCAAGTGGCTTATCATGTATATCATGTACTTAAAATGTATTCACAAACTACTGTTGTATTTGTATAAAATATAGACAAAGATCGTATTTTTGTGTGTGTATAAGCTCTGTAAAATAGCAATCACATTATGAAGCTGCAGTTATACTACATTTTAAACATCCACATCCAAAGAAGCAGGCTATTTATTGTCCAATTGCCCAGATATAAAATATTCATTTGCTGCTAATTAAACAATAGTGCTGCAGCTTCTTGTGGCCTACAGTGTTAATGTTTGCTGTAAGAAAAAGATATGTGAACTCCACAAAATATATGAATAAAATTATAGAATGGCTTTAGATAATCTTTCTGAAATTTTAACAGATGATAAATTTCTATTTGGTAAAACATTTTCTTTACTTTGGATTGGAAATATTGATAAATTTTATATATTTGCTAAATACAAGATTCTAGACACTGGCTCTAGGACATACTTTGTTGTTGAAATGTACAGTTCTAGAGTTTCTTTGTTTTGTTTTAAAACTTTTGTACCTTTTAAGGAAGGATAGAAATTGTAAATAAAAAAGTCAAAACATGATGCATCAAAACTTTAATCTAAACGAGAATTCAAAAGAGAATTCCAAAAAAGATGTCAGAATGTATAAAATTGATAATGTCCCTTGTTTTTGAGATATAATTGGCATTAATGTTCCTGTAACACTATCATGAAAATTTGCCTTTTAGAAGGACTAACTGTTGGTCTAAAACATTGCTAAAACCCTCGACAGTTCATCTGAACCAAAACTTGAGGCACACTTTAATTACATCTAAAACTCACCAGGTAATTAGTAATGCAGCTTCAGAAAGAGAAAGATTCAGAAAATTCAATTAATATTTTATCCAGGTACCAACTGTAGAAGTAATTTTTCATGTCTCGCATCTCGGTATGATAGGCAAACTTCCTCCCTGGACTTTCTTAAGGCTCTACTACTTTCATAAAGGGCAAAACAAAACAGTGATTCCACTGTTGGCAGGGCCTCTTTTCACATGTTTAATTCCAGAAATCTGGAGGTACTTGTTAATTCTTAACATTAACACTAAATACATTTTTATTTAAATTCATGCATATGAAATTCATAGACTTCATAGAGCAAAAATAATAAGCAAAAATCCTTTTGCTTATTGTTAGAATACTCTGAAAAGAGTATGTTTAAGATTAATTCACTTGAGGTATAATCTCTTTAACAGAAATTAGGGATGTAGTTTGCTTATTGCATCATAGAACCAACGTCACTAAATAACTCAGAAGATTAAATGAAAAGTATTATGTTGATGGTTTATCATTAAGGGAAGGAAATGTTCTTTCCCTTAGACAACTTGAGTTTTGCTATCACTTTTCTTTAATTGAACATTTACTCAAATATTTCTTACGTACCTAAGGCACAGCTTTATGCTAAGTCCTAGGGGTGTCCCAACAAAGTCAGCTTTATTAGAATTCATTATTTTTTTTATTGACATGATATTTTGATACCTCCATCAGGTATTGCCATCATTTTGCACTGACCACCT